GCCATGTAAATTACATAAGCGGCCCAGATGTAAAAGGTCAACCGCTATTAGTTTGTTTACACAGATGAAAGCGTCAGTGAATTAATTGGAACAATTTACGTCTTTAATCCACAGACTTAGAGAAATGTTAAATTACATGTGTGCTCAACTGGTGTTTAGCTATGAAAGATCGTCCAAGATGTTGACAAAAATTAAACTATACTGTGAAGGTACCAAAATCATTGAACAATTAATCTGTCAACTTCACTAAATTACCGATATATATAATTCTGTTTACATATGCCAGACTTTTGCTGAAATTTACCCTCTCATTTTGCTGTATGAAATTAAAGTTTAAATAGCAAAATCCATTGAATACATGTATAACAATATTTATGTTTACATTTTGATTGTGGTGAAAAAAGATAACTTCACTTTGTTGATAATACAATTTTCTTTTTTGTACACAAATTTTTTGACTGCTGACACTTCAAATGACTCAAAATGCTATACCAATCAGGTTTTTTTTCGGTCCAGTAAAATCATGTTTGGTCCAGTAAAAATTTTCAGTTTACAGGACCTACTGTCCAGTAAAACTCAGAAGTCTTTCGCATAGACTGTACCTACAAAGTTTCATGTTGATACCTCTTGTTGTTTCAAAGTTAAGTCCCGGACAAGAAAAGGGGATGGACGGACGGACAAGGCGGCGACTATATGCTCACCCGAAATTTTTCGGGGAGCATAAAAATAGTCCAGGCCTTTCATATATGGTACTGTTTTGTCTCTAACATAATACAGAATTTTCTAACCGTTGAAAACTATTTGCGCTTCAAGATAATCCTGTGTTTTAGGAAGAAAATTTATTGGTATATAATAAATGCTGTCATTGACATTTCTTATGCTTATATTTATTATTTTAGTCCAAGAAATTTGTGAAAAAATTGTGCACCTTCTGTGAAAAGCATGAAACTTGGCATGGTGTCGAGGAATGGTATTTCCAGTTATTTCAGCCTGGGATCCACTTTTTAAAAATCCAAGATGGCCGCCAAAATCCAAGATGGCCGCCAAAATGTAAAATGTACACAGGTCATGTCAAAATGAAGTTATTTATGAATAGAAAATGCTATAAATTGACATTATAGGTCAAAAATAGTAATTTCATGGGAAAATGCTTAAGTAGCATTGGTAAAAAATGCAATATGGCTTCAAAATCCAATATGGCTGCCATTAAAGGATGATATTTTGACAAATTTCTATAATAAAGGTAATTTGTATCATCATCACTTTTAATACATGAAACAAACTAAAAAAGTGGTATTCCTGCATAAATCTGCATATACAGATGTACATTTACAGAGAAAAAAACTTGCATTTATGGATAAAACCGTGCGAGCACATTATTTAGCTTGACATTTCAAAGACTAGGGAGCAAGTGATATTGTACACCAAAGGCGTCAGCTTTACAAGTTTTTCATGCAAGTTTGTTTTGTAAAAAATACATGATGGAATACGTTAAACCCTAAAACACTTATTTTTTAGCATAATAGGTCACCGTTAAAGGTCAATAACTCTATCATGGATTTTGACAGAATTATGTCCCTTTTAAATATAGGGATTCTTCATAATCTAGGTTCTTGTTTAGCTATAAAGCACCGAGAACAGGCTAACACTTTATGATGTCCTACCAATAGCTCCTGTCAATGTGCATGATTCTGATACCATGCAAAGCCGCTGATTTTAATAATGATCCCCAGTAACCTTGTTATCAAAACATAACGCACAAAAATTAAAGTTAAAATCAATGTAACTAGTTTCTGTATGCGGAAAACAACATATCGTAGAATCACCGAAACAGAATGACTAATACATTATTTTGTGCATCAACATCTACAGAAATTGAATCCTGAGCCCATAGAATGAGGGATCAGAATGCGTCTTCACGCTTCTGTAGATGTTAATGCATGAAAAGTGTGAATTAATCCTCTGTTGTATTGTATATTTTAGTGCACACAATTCCTTAGCTTATTTGAACCAAATGTTCAGTATGATTTATACTAGTTAGTATCGGAGACGTGAGGGTTTCTTCTCCTGTCAACTCTTTTTAATAAATTTAGTTTGCATCATCCTTGTGATCGTCTTACTGCAGCTGTGAGTTCTTTTTCATTAGTAATTTAAGCAGCATATATTTTGTGTCATAGATAACGGAATCAGACTCTTATTATGTCATTATTTTGGCAAGGTCTTGTGAATAAACAAGAAAAACAGAATGATATTGAGCAAAAATATCTTGGGTTCTCAGGTAATCAAACTTAAGTGTTTGACATTATTAAGATTAGTAATTTTTGACTTTATATGAGATCAAGTTAAGACTTTTGCAGCTCATTCTATTTGATAATTTTGATATGAGATTCTAATTGTAAGTTATTGCGAATTTCGGGGCTGCATTCCAGGGGCAACGCTCTTAAATTTTTTTGTTAATTTCTCCCTTTCATATTTTAAAGCAGTTGAAATGCCTGATTAAGCCTTACATAATCATATGTATTTTCTGATATTACAGTATAATAGTTGATTTATAATCTCAGTTGTTTGTTGTTGTTTTTTTTTGTATTTCAAAACAAATTTAACAAATTATAAATTGTTTACTAGTAGATTAAATAATTTCTGTTTGGTTTTCACAACTGTCATAAAGGGACTGTACACATGAACTAGTGAAATCATGCCGAATTTAGCTTAACTCATGAGGTTGTCATTTCTTCAGCTGTTTTTATTTTTTTATTTTTTATTATTTACTCCTAGAATCACAACAACAATGAACAATTGACCTTAAACTTGACAGACATTCAGTACTAGATCAATAGGTGTTAATCATAGATAATTTACTAAAGTTTTCTTGTTTATACTGATTAGTATTAGTTGATAACACTTTAAACATTACCTTGCTTAAGTTAGTATAAAAGCAACCTGATGTACAACTGTTGAAATATCATCAACTCTAACATTTTCTGAAATTTACTAGCCTAGTATCCACAATTTTTTTTAAGAACTGGTCACTTTTGACTCTGAACATAAACTACTTCAAGTAGTCTTGGGTTACGTTTTACTTTTTAGTCTTATCAAAATACAAATTACAGAGTCTAGAATTCTCTGAAATTATTATTATGAAGTGTTTTCTTTTTATGGAAAATTACAAAGCTGTTGGTAAAAATATACAAAATTTTCTATACCATTCCTTTAGCACTTGCACAATGACCCAATAGGAGGTCCGCTACATATTATATCATTGGAATAAGGCTCAGCTTAGTTTGATTGCAAGTTGCTTGAACTTGAAATTACCTAAAATTAGCAAAGAGATTTTTATTCACGAGCAGATAATGAAATTATGAGATGGTTTTACGTCCATTTTTTGTTTAAAATATTCTTTTGTTAAGAGTTTTCGTAAATCAAGTAAAAAGAAATCTGAGCAATTTAATTATGAGCATGTTTCAATATGAATCGGATGCTTTAAAACAGTTTCATAACTAAAAGGGTTTTTGTCACAAAAACATATGTCTCCCAAAACTATGCATGGTCACTCATGTGAAGTTTCATTGAAACCCCACCAGTAACTTGACCTGTGAAAGCCGGACAATATTTTTTTATTTATAGCTCCAACGACCATTTTGTGCAGCGAAGCGAAATGTGCACAACTAGGGATATTTCTGCTCTCTCCTGTAAAGTTTGGTTGATATTTAACCAGTAGTTTGACCAGTGAAGGCCGGGCAAGATATTTCTGCTTTAAGCTCTGGCGGCCATTTTGTGCAGCAAAGCGAAATGTGACGGTGATGTCCACAACTTGGGATGGTACTGATTAGGGGGGCCTCCGTGGCCGAGTGGTTAAAGTCGCTGACTTGAGATCACAGGTCCCTCACCGCTGTAGGTTCGATCCTCATTCGGGTCGAAATCTTTCATGTGAGGAAGCCATCCAGCTGGCTTACGGAAGTTCGGTGGTTCTATCCAGGTGCCCGCTCGTGCCTTAAATAATGCCCGGAGCACCTGGGGTCTTCCTCCACCAATAAAGCTGGAAAAAATTGACGAAATATCTCGGCGGGACAGGTACTGATTACTCCTAAAGTTAAGTTGAAATCCCACCTGTAGTTTGACCTGTTAAGGATGGACAAGCTTTATGCGGACGAACAGACAGACAGACGGTGAAGGCAAATACAATACGTCTTTCATGCTGGTATGGTTAAAAAACATGTGATATAATGTATTTGTGCTATTTTATACTAATTTGAAAATGATGACAGCTGGTAAGTAATATATTCTGAAAAATTCAACATGGTTGCCATCTTGGATTTCGACAAGCATGTTGGATATGCAAAATCTAGATCCAAGGCTTGAATATAAATAAATATGCTATGCCATAATTTTAAATTAGTCTTATTTTATACTGTTCTGTAATGACGACAACAGCTGAAAACTATTACATTCTGAAAATTTTAATATGGCGGCCATCTTGGATTTTGGCAACCATCTTGGATTTGCACAACCTGAATCCGAGGCTTGAATTTATATAAATGTGTAATATAATAAAGTAGTGATATTTCATACTGACCTGTAAAGAATAAAGCTGAAAAACTTTAATATTTTGAAAAATAAAAATAAACGGCGGCCATCTTGGATTTTGGCGGCCATTTTGGATTTGCACAACCTGGATAAGAGGCCTGAATATAAATTAATCTGTAATATAATGAAATGATGCTTTTTTATACTATTCTAGGTATGACTACAGCTGAAATACTCAAATATTCTGAAAATTTTAATATATGGCGGCCATCTTGGATTTTGGCGGCCATATTGGATTTTTAAAAAGTGGATCCCAGGCTAAAATGAATTGAAATACTATTTCCTGCCACCATGCCAAGTTTCATGCTTTTCACAAGAGGTGCACAATTCACCCTATTTTATGCACAGATTTCTTGGACTATTTGTATTTCTTGCAATCCTATTTATAGCTACAAATTCTATGAATTAAAATAGAAAATGAAGGTAGCATGGAGACGGTGTTGATATTGTGTGATAAAAATTTAAAGATCATTGGAAATCATCCCAGTAACCGAATACTCTAAATGACCGAGTACTCGAGTATTGATTTTAGTAATTGTTGCCATCCCTAAAAAAATAAAGTACTTGACAAGATCAACTAACATCTAAATAAAAAACTTTGAAAACAGAATTAATTATTTTGAAAAATTCACTCTGAGCTGTATTATCTAAAATGGGTGTTCAAACACATTGAAAACATTGATAATTCATTTCATGTTCTTGGTGATGAAGTGGTGCCTCAATATAGTTATCACTGCAATCTATCTTCCCTCATAACTCCTACTATTACTGTATCTGTCAAACAAGCATCTCTGTTTTCTGAAATAGAGTTTGAAAAAGTTTATTGCTGACTGAGATATTCCATACTTGTATGTTAACCTTTTTTCAGCATCTTTCTGTTAGAATTACTCTGATTTATAAAGGTATAAAACCAAAAAATGCGCGACCAATGCCAGAGCTCAACCCCTCTGATCAGATTTCACAAACGAGCATCTGAGTAGAACCACCGCCTTTTTTTAAAGCTAGCTGGATTGCTTTCTCACATTAAAGAATCCATATTAAATATAATAGAACATTGATAATTGCTACACAGTCTCTTTGTAAACATAAAATAAGCATGTTTTGTGTTTACATAAAGTAGCTATGTAATGTTAAAACACCACATGCTATAGTTGGTCACAATATAAATATATAGTGTTGTTAGGAAACTGACAGTTTTTTTAAGAAGGACCAAATTTTTTTTTTGTCTCGTAAGAAGGAACATGGCTTCCAATGCATAGTTAATTCATTCAAATTAGACATATTCAAAAAGAATTGCATAGAATTCAATACATTTTCATGATTAAAATATTTTACTGATGAGCATAGTATATCTTTAAAGGTAAGTGGTTTAGGTGCATTTCTTTGACTATGGTCACCCCAATTAAATCTATTTATTTGCTTAGTAACACAACTTTTTAAAGTCATATAAATTTGTAAATGTGAGTGATTCTGATAATCTATATACAGCTAAGTCAAGATGAGATGATTAGGTTTTACTGACTGCTTACTACATGAAGTCACTATTTCAATGTCAAATGCCTTGAGGTGAAAGGAATGAAAACTTGAATTTCAAAATACAATTTAAGTGAATTACATGTCACAAATGAGCCGTGTCATGACAAAACCAACATAATGGGTTTGCGACCAGCATGGATCCAGACCAGGTTAGTCTGATCAGGATCCATGCTGTTCGCTTACAAACCTTATTACAAGTAGAGAAACTGATAGCGAACAGTATGGATCCTGATCAGACTGGGCGGATGCCCATTATGTTGGTTTTGTCATGACACGGCTAAAATGTTTTTGCTATCGACTTTTGTTCCTAAATTAACAACAGATTGCATAATGAAAAGATATTGAAATAATTAATATACAATTGGCTCTTAGTGCCAAGCTTACAGATTTTAAATAAACCTTGAGCCCTGTGTTGGCCTTTAAACATGTCAAACATTTAGAAAGTATTTATTAAGGAAAAGTGTGTACAAATAATCATGTACCTCTTCATTATATGCCCATGACATTGAAAAAACATTGTGTCATCTGTTTACTTCAAGGTTAGTCACATTGACAGTATCACATTTTAGACTTTATCTCTCTTGATTCCATTCATAAAAAGCATTCTCAAAATGGGTCCTCTTAATTTCACATTCATCAATCTGACAAAAACCTCCTGGAAAAGAAGTTAGAAACATATGCCACTAATTATGTCAGTTAATGTCAAATAAATACTTTGAGAAACTATTTGGTCAAAATTGTAAATGTACAAAGATTTTCAAACCAAATATATATATAACAATGAACATTTCCTTTTTAACTTTTTAACATATATAATGTATTTTTATTTATTTATTTATTTTAGTCTCATCTGTGTACAATTACATATATTTCAAAATAAAAGATAAACATTACATTGTACATAGCCATTCTTTAAGTAGAATTACAGGAGACTTAAGATATTTTACATATTTTACAATTAAAACCATATTCTGTTATGTTATGGGCATATGTATGTGTATATATGAAATATATGCACATATATATGCAAATATATTACACATTAAAATTAAATGCATATTAAAACATCACATAATATCTACTGTAAAATCTGCCAATAGTGACAGCTCTAATAAAAGTTCACTATTAAAAGGTAACAGCTTAAATGAAAGCTCACTATTAAAAAGTAAAAATGTGCATCTTTATAATATTATTTGTCTAGAGGTTATCTTTGATTATGGAGTGGTCTAATTGGCAGAATTTACCTTGTTAATACAGAATGCAACTCAGTATACATTAAAACATGATAGTTCATATTTAAACTGATATAAACATGATAAAATACAGTCCAATTTTGTTAAGAAATAAAATATGTCATAGCAAGTCAGTTGTGAAGACAATTATTACAATAGTTTTATATACAAACATCCGACTTTCACTAAATGGTAAGAAGAATACATAAAAAAAAAAAAAAAAAATTAAAAATATGAGAGTTTGTTAAAATATCATTTAAAATTTGACTGGAGGCAAACCAATAATTTTAAGTTTAAATTTTATAATTCTAAGTCTATATTGTGTTAACATTGCTATTATACAGAGTGTTATTTCGAAGTTTTAATATATTGCAGCAGGTTTTTGCTAATGTACGTATCATTTCTGGGTGGGTAAACAAAAATAGAAACTTATCAATATCATTAAGTAATTCAAAATTTGTATTTAATATAACTGCCTTTTCTAAAAGTAAATTCCTATCAACAGAGTAAGTTGGACATTTCAATAACGCATGGATTTCGTTTTCCACCAAGTCTTTGCAAAATGGACACACTCTTTCAGATTCAGGTAATCTTTCATAACCCCCAGTTTCTAGTCGAAGTGGTGCTACGCCACATCTAAATTTTGCTAATGCAGATCTATGTGCATATGGTAATTGTAATTTACAATATGTTTCAACTTCATAATTAGTTTTTAAAAGTTTGTATGTCCTTAATTTATTACGACCTGTGCCATTAACACTTGACACTCGATCAATATCTGTTCTCCATTGCAAAATATGAGCATCAACAATAGCATTTGTCATATCAGACACGAGATTTTTACGATGGAAAGGTGGTTGAATATAGGATGCTAAATTATAAGAAACTAACTTATTCTGTATGGTCTTACTTGAAGAAAATGTTTGCCCGTGTGACCGAAAAGGGATTAAGGACCATTACTATTGTTTTTCCTTTTGTTTATTAAAGGGCCATGGCCCCATATTCTATTGTTATGGAATGAATTCTATTGTTCTCTTTTGTTATGCTACAGTAAGATGGATATATATATCAAAGTCAGAAAAAAGCTAACATGTTTTTACCTTAATGGCCTGTATAATTATGTTTCACAGCTTCTCAGCAAACAACCAACTGAGCCACAATTGAAATCTAACAAACAAGCCTTTATTCACAAACCTGAAATAAAAACTTTTCCTAATCAATACAATAGTTCTTTTAATTTATTACATACTTCATTGAAACATTAAGAAATATTGATAAAGTAAAATGCTCATTTTCATTTCCTGTATTTTCAATGTAATTATTCATTTTTCATTGCGTATTTTCACAAGTGTCTCCTAAATTTAGCCTATACACAATAGACTGTAAAGAATAATAGGGCAATTTCTTTATAATTTCAAGTATTTATAGTCGAAACAGTCCTTTTTAAAGGCATATATATGGGTAAGTTGAATGTTGCATGTCCAGATATGATTGACTAACAATTGTAAAAGTGAGTAATAATTGTCGGAATCATAGCTCAATCGGTAGAGAACATAGCTCAAGGTTACCAGATTTCAAAAAAAAAAATTATTAATTTTGTTCTGACATGTCAGGAACAACTTAGACATGTCAGGAACAACTTGAAATTTAAATGTGTTTTTCGTTTGATTGATTTTTGTTACCTATCTTACTTTTTCATTGAAGTATCTTTACCTTCTTAAAAATTATGCCCAAATCTCATTTCTTTCTCTTTTTTTTAAACTTCTTTTCATGAATTTAATATAAATATTTTCAACAGATTTTAAAATAATCAAAATACAACACTGTTAAGCATATATAACTGTTGTCAGGATTAAGTTTTGTTTCATCAAAAAAAAACTTGAATAGAAAATAGAACAGTTTCCACCTGTAGTTTGGAACCCACTAACTGAATTCACTTTTATATCAATATTATGCAGTCTTAAACTTATTTCACTAGTAAGTCAAATGATTTATTATCTCAAACAATGTAATTACATGTAGTATAAGTTTTATGGAAATAATGTGGTTAATCACTTGCAGTTAATCAAGGCTCGACAAATCCACTTGTCCGCTCATAAATGATAAATACGAGTAAAAATGACTCTGGACAAGTTAATCTCCCAAAAATGCCCGTCCTGCAGGACATGTGAAATTTCTAGCATAAATTAATCAAATTTCAATTCAATTCTTTTGAAACCATTTTTCAAGTTTTACTAGTAAGACAGAGCACAAAATAATTCCCGTGTGTTTGATGGGCAAAACTGATGTTGATTTGTTGAATGCAACGCTTAATTCTGTCCGATTCTATTTTGTAAAAACTTACTAAAAGCCCGTGCGGCGATTCCAGTATGTTCCACAAAATTTTTTTAAAATGTAACAATGCAATATTCGGCAAATGTTTAGCCAGAAAGAAGTTAGTTAAACAGTGTCTTCAAAAAAGAAAAATTGTCTTCAAAAAAGAAAAATGAGTCAGAACATGTAGGAAATTTATATTTTTTAAGCATTGTTGTTGTTGTTGTTTTTCGTTTTTCAATCCCTGATATATTATTTGTAGTATTTGTAACTATTATCTATTCTATTTGTAATAGAACAGCATTTTTCCCTTATAAAACTATTTACGTTCCCAATAAAAAAAGACAGCAAATTTTCAAATGTTTTATTTTTAAAGTCCCAAAATTACTGTCAAAATTCCCATCCAAAATTGGCATATATAAAATGGATGATTTCATATTGATAAGTGATATGTGATAAAAACCAAGTACAACTACATCTGACAGAGCAATATTTGTACCTAGTTCATTTTATACTTCCGAACATTATTTATGTACATGTACTCATTTTTTTCACTCCAATAGGAAATCAATATATTATGCATGGTTTAACTTTAAATGCATAATTCTCATGTCTCCCTGGATAAAATTCAAAATTAACCATGTGGCATGAATACCTGTCAGTTATGTAGTATCAATTTTAGACAAAACGCATTTTTCCAAAAAAAAATTGTACTAGTAGCGTATAGATAATAGTTATCCATAACTATTATAATGTATTCAAGTGCTTCAGTAACAAAGGTCTACATTTTATTCATTTAAACGTAAGATCCATAATTCCGAAAATGTCCGAACTGAAAACGATAGCTAATAACTGCAATGCAGCAATTTTTTCGATATCAGAAACTTGGTTGGACTCTAGTGTGTATGATGGTGAAATTGACATTCAAAATTATACTGTACTAAGAAATGATCGCAATAGAAATGGAGGTGGGGTATGTATGTACATTAGAAATGATATTTCTTTTAATGTAAGATATGATTTGTCAAACAACACAAATGAATGTATATTTGTTGAGATACTTTTGCCCCGGAATAAACCTATTATTGTTGGAACATTATATAGACCCCTAAACAAACCGATTTCAATAAGTTTCTAGAATCAATTTTATCTAAACTTTCTTTCGAAAATGAAATATATATACTTGGAGATATGAATATATGCTTTTTTGATAACAAATCTATTATATTCAGAGAATACAGCAGCATTTTGAGTTTATATAATCTTCAGCAAATTATAAAAACAGCGACACGAATTAGTAATACGGGTTCTAGCCTTATAGATCACATTCTCTGCAATTATAAAGAACGAGTGTCTCAGTCTGGGGTTATTCCTCTTGGGTTAAGCGATCATTTTATGACTTTTTGTACAAGAAAGATTGTTAAGAATCCAGTTAATTGTCATAGATATGTTAAAATACGATCGCTTAAAAATTACTCTAAAGAAAATTGGATTGCGGAGTTGACTCAAACAGACTGGAGTTCTTGCTTTTATTCTTTAAATGTAAATAACGCATGGAATAATTTTCAGAAAATTTTCACTGATTTATTAGATAAGATTGCTCCATTTAAGGAAATTAGACTTAAAAATCAAACTGAACCTTGGATAGATTCAAATATTCTAGATCTGATACATAGGCGAGAGAAAGCATATGCAAGGTATAGAAAAAGTCGTAATAATTCTGACAAGATTTTGTTCAATAAACTTCGCAATGAAGTACAACGATCTATAAAATTGGCAAAATCTGAATACTTCAAAGGGCAAATATTAGATAATAAGAACGACAATAAGAAACTATGGCAGAATATCAAATCCCTTGGTTACAGTAACAATAAAAAAGAAAGTCCGAATATCGTTTTGTCGATTGATGGTGAAACTTATCACGATCCTTGTAGAGTTGCAAGTCATTTTAATAACTTCTTTACAAATATTGCATCTAATTTAGTACAGAAACTCACGGCAGCAAAGAACTTTTATAGTGTGGCATCCGATACAATTAAGAATTATTATAGGAACATATCACAAAAAGAGTTTTACCTTCGTCATGTAAGTGAGGAGTTTGTATATAAAGAATTATGTAGGCTTAATATAAGCAAAAGCACTGGATTAGATGGTATCCCTGCAAAATTTCTAAAAGATGGTGCTGATGTGTTAAAAATCCCTATAACTTATATTGTGAATTCTTCAATAACAGAGGGGGTTGTCCCAGATGATATGAAAATTGCTAAAGTAAAACCTCTACACAAAAAGAATAGTAAGCTAGATGTCGGGAATTACAGACCAGTTAGTATTTTATGTATTGTATCCAAGATTCTAGAACGGGCCGTGTATGTACAATTTGAGTCATTTTTAAGAACTAATAATCTAATTTACGAACACCAGTCCGGGTTTCGGAAATCTCATTCAACTGACACATGTCTTATTTACCTACTTGACTATATCCGTACAAATAGCTCCAAAGGGTTACTCACTGGTATGGTTATGATGGACTTACAAAAAGCTTTTGATACCGTCAATCATGATATTTTGTGTGGTAAATTAGATATATTAGGTGTCAAATCTATTTCTTGGTTTAAATCATACTTGTCAGGTAGGTATCAGAAAGTAAGTATTGGTAAAGTTTTTTCTGACTCAATTCCTATTACGTGTGGGGTCCCTCAAGGCAGTATTTTGGGTCCTCTTCTATTTCTCTGCTACGTTAATGACATGGTAACAAGTATTGATTCTGAATGCAAGTTAATTTTATATGCAGATGATAGCACAATATTATTTTCGCATAAGGATCCAAAAATTATAGCCCAAAAACTTGGAAAGGTCTTGGAACGATGCTCAGATTGGTTAGTTGATAATAAATTATCTCTACACCTGGGCAAGACTGAATGTATGCTATTTGGTTCTAAATCGAAAATTAATAAATTACAAAAATTTTCCATTTCATGTAATGATCAAACAATAAAGTCTTCGTCTGAAGTTAAATATCTTGGTTTGAATATCGATTGTTACCTATCAGGAGATAAAATTGTCAAGTCGAGCATTCTTTCAAAGGTGAATGGAAGATTACATTTTCTATACCGTTACAAAAATTGTTTATCGGAAGAAATAAAGAAACAGTTATGTCCTGCCCTTTTGCTGTGTCACTTTGATTATTCTTCATCTTCTTGGTACGAAGGACTGAGTAAGTCACTGAAGCACAAACTTCAAGTAGCTCAAAATAAGGTTGTGCGCTTTATAAAAGACTACACTCCTAGGACTTCAGTGACAAATAAGGTTCTGTCCGATCTTAAATTATTAAATGTCAATGATAGAGTTAGACAGTTAAGACTCAACCACATTCATAAAGTTTATTACAACAAAAGCCCTTCCTATTTAAAGGAATTGTTTAAGGTTTGTAGAATATCCAATTTAAGATCCAGTAATTTTTATTTTTGTTTTACCTCAAAATGATTCTTATGTAAAAAATACATTTTTCTACAATGCCATTAAAGACTGGAATTCTTTACCAGACACCATTAGATCAATTGACAATATCCAAACATTTAAAACGAAAGTAAAACTTTTTTTAAGTAATGAAAATTGATAAAACAAGTGAATAATATGTTTATTTATTATTAAATTGATGTGTAACTTATGTCATAAGGTTTTGAAAACATGTTTATGTGTACTTGATATGTTTTAGTTTAAAAGAAACTTTTTTTCATTTTGTTTGTGTACAATGTACTTGTCTTATTATATTGAAAAATGTGTTTTGATTATTGAAAATTGCCATTAAGTTTAACTTCTTTATAATTCATTTATCATTATGTAAGTTAGTGTAATAATTTTACAGAAAATGGACCCCATTGGAAATAAGCTTTTAGCTTAATGGGCAATCCTAGGGTTACATAGAACATACTTATTGATTAATCGTATAATTATTTTTGTGCATTTATGTGTGTGTTTTTATTTATATTCAAGTTGATATCTGTGATAAAATTGTATGTGTATACATGTATATGTCTATTCCCTGAATAAATCGATACGATCCAGAACTAAGCAAATGTCAGGGTTTTTCGATGCTAATCCCCAGTGTAAATATAATTATAACCTTACTCAAATTTCTTAAAATGAGGGGTGAAGTGTCTGCAAAAAAGGGCCTAGAGTGAAGTGTCTGGGGGGTGAAGTGTCTGTAAGCCGAGGTGATGGACAAGGCAAGACATGTCAATTTTTTGTAGCTTATTATGAAGTTGCAGTACAATGAGAGACTGGCACTACTTGTATATTTTTTATTTTAAAAAAGCTGTAAGGTAAGCATCAACAATATGTATACGCTAGATGTAAATAACTCACCTCCAAAAAATATATAAAAAAAAATCGGTCAAAAATGTCTGGGTAGGAAATGGTTTTGAGGGAGGACTTTAAAGGGAAGGAACTGCTAAACTTAAAATTTTGATAAGGTCAATTCAGTACAAAAAAGCTTTACCCGATAATGGCCGATTGTGAAGAAAAAATTTGTAAAAAAATAGAGCTTTTAATTGCAACTTAAATATCAACGTTCTGAAATATAAACAATGAACATCAGTCATCTTGAATAACGTTGTATTGAAAGTCATATCCGCGGGGTATGACTCATATCCGGTATTAAGTCAAACTCTTGTATTTTTTGTGTAAGCAACCAGAATCGCCAACGATTTCGCCACTGATAAATGGATAAATGCAAAACAAGCAAAGTTATTCAACAGTTAGGTAAGTGGGAGATAAGGTTTTTGTAATATAGAACTTACAACTCGTTTTAACACGTGGAACTTCTATATAAACTTCTCAATCTTTCACGGATGAACTTGTAAACAATGGCGATTGCGGTAAAATGACGTTAGGGCGAAAATAGTTCGTATTCATACGCATGCATTGTTTTTCTTAAATTTACACTTATGAAGCATTAAGCCCTATAAGCTTTAAAGTTAGCTGATCTGAAATCCGTATTCCATTACTTGCTAAATTTTTTAGTTCTATGACACTTAATTAACTTGTGACTACATGTAATTTGTACTATATTTATGCAAGTACTTTGGCTATGATCGACCGCTGGCGTAGTAATATTAAAATCGCGTAAAGCAAAAATATACATACAATTTTAAAAGACGATTGCTAAATTTAGTACAAAATTGGCCAGTCAATTTTAAAATAGATAGGGAACTATGATTTTGGAGTTACTGCGAAGTTTTGGAACTATTTTGCTTAGCGTAGGTAGCTGACTATTTGTGGTCATATCATAGTAAATCTGAATTTGTCGTTATTCCATTGGGGGCGCATTGCGCATGCGCCCCCAAAAACGGAATCCCTAAAGAAAGCCCAACATGGGAAAATTGAAAATGTTGCAGGCTCGGTTTGATTGAGCCTGTTCATGGACGGTACTGGAAAATGCAATTTACCGTCCACGCCCCCTAGTACCGGCTTAAGTAGAATTCAACATTTAAACAGGTAAATGGTGAAATTTTGAATTTAGAAACATACGCAGATGTGTTCATACGGCAATTATTATGAAATCTTCAATGTGACACATGTACAGTAGTGCCATTCCATGAAAAGCGGCGTTGGGTCCCCAATTAAAAAATGCGTGTGCCCTAAACGGGAAAACAATAGGCAGAACTAAATAAAATGGAATTTTGAATGGGGATCTGATATTATGAAGCCTGCATATCACAGATAAAACGTCTTAGCTTCTGTTACCTATTGATGAAAACTTACGTACATCGAGCTAACAATACTGTCATGTTTATTTATTTTTGAGCTGAATATTTGATGGTTTAAATTATTTATATGTTATATAAACCGGAAAAAATAAACAAGACATAAAAAATCTACATTTTAATTGGATATGAAAGCAATCTTTTTTTATATTGATGAGGAATTCCTCGATTTGCGTTAATATGTTTTCAAAGGTGAAGATATTTTCAAGTATCATGATACCAAGACAGTTATTTAACACCATAAATGCGAAATCAAACAGTTATACGTAACTAGCGCACATTTATTTTTTTTAAAGTATCTGTATATAACTTTTCAATACTCATTACGATTGAATAAACTACTGTTCACGATTGAATCAACTACTGTTCACGATTAAATCAACTGAGGAAATGACAATTCTTTAACACCAGAACTTTTCATTTGCTATTATTAAACATTTTCAACTGATTTAATGAGAGAGTCTCGTATACATGTACCAGACTGTTGCATTTTTTGTTTTCGTCCAAAGTTACAATGAAATGATGCAAAACACTCAAAGGGATATTTTAAAAACATTGTAACATAAGAATATTACATGTATTATCAAATATTTTTCTCTATTTTACTGACGAGCAAGATATGGGCCGTTATTTTCTAAGTTAATCACATGTGTATTATTTACATGTTCCACACATCCAACGAATCCCACAAATCTCTTATTTATAACATATTAAATTTTCTTATATTTATTGGTGTAAATATAGACTAGCGGTCAACCCGGGGCTTGGCGGCGTCAGCAGAAATGCGCATTTCCATAATTGTCATGAACAGACTTAATCAATCCAAACCTGCAAAATTTTAATATTTGTTGAGTTCAGTTATTTTCAAAGTTCATTTTCCATCTGTTTAAATTATCTAAATGACACGAAGTATTTGAGGATTTTATTTCACATCGGGACGTAAAATTTGACAGTTTTTACTTGAAACGGTTGCATATCAAATGAACATATGCATCACGTGCGTTTAATAATGTTAACACTTAATTATATTGACAATAAATATTAAATAGGACAATTTTAGTGGGGTGCACACCGGGTATCTTACCATCCTAATCCGCTAGATACTTAAAATGCTTCAAGGCTCAGGTTTATTGTAAACCAAAGAAACCTGGGATCCTAGAA